AGCAGCGAAAAGAAATTTCGCCGCCGTTGCGATACAACAAAAAATAATGCGTTATAAGATAGTGAGTAGAAAAATAGACAATGAATTGAAAAATTACTTAAAAAAACTATATCGACAAAAATTAGATTTTGTATTACATGAATTTCAAAAGCAGCCTTGAAAGCATAGCGAACCAATTACTGAGCGGCTCCAAAGGCGACAAAAATTGGGTCGACCCCTATTGAGTCGAAGACAAAACTGTTGTCATAAAAACATTTGAGCTATACAGATTTGAACGTCTTTACGGCCCAACCGTACTGAAACACATAAAAGCATACGAACATAGTTTTTTCTCAAAATTACGTCATATAAGTTGACTAAGTCGACATAACATGAACAAAAACCGTTTAACAGTAAAACAAATTATTCAAAATCAAATTTGGTAAATTTACAAATGATAAACTTTCAATTATAGTTGAAACTGTGTACATAAAAAACACAGTTTCATGCTCTGGAAAGCCAACCCAGAAAAACGTATATGAACCGAAGGGAACAACGACGAAAAGAACGAATCCGAAAAAGAATCAACAGAATTTAATTGAAACATAATTACTGCTTGAAACAAACTCGACCTACTGACTACCTAATCTTAATTATTGTAGTTTTATTCAAATTTTCAAGAAATTAAGCATGTTTACCTTTCCTACTGAATTGATCATTCTGTGACCAAATTTAGATACTGGAAAACAAGTCTAGTACCCGATTGCAGCACCCTTGCTGATCGCAAGGGTAAACACGATATTTTCGGGAACTTGCGGCTTCACGCTAGTAGTCTCTGCTCAAACAATTTCCGGAATATAGCTTAGTGATTTCAAAGTAAAGGCGCACCTGGTTCGAAAAGTAGCTTCATTTCGGATTTGGTTCAGAAATGCATCCCTGAGTTACATTAATACTATCCTGTTGGTACTAGTTCTTGACCAACTATTCATTTGAACGAATGTAACGCAACCGGAATCAATACAGACAAATAATGCATCAAAATTACTAAAGAGATCTGAGAAAAACAAAATGTACAAGATCAAAGAACAGAAACATTTCGAGGAAGTTGACGTGACTTTGAAGTTCTCCGGCCATCTGAAAAAAAACAATCAAACGGCAAAATTTAAAAAATATATATATGTTCAAACTAAATAATCATTTCAAAATCTGAACAAAAGAAAAATTACACTGAAATCACAATATTTTTTTTACATATAGTGACTGAAAAAGAAATTACTGAATTTAAAAGTATTAAAAGTCCTTTCAATGTCGACTCGTTGAACTATACTTCAATCTGAACAAAGCCAATTTTTGACCAAGGATTGACCAACGTTACAAAACAGTTAAATCAGATTATTGGACTTGGGTAGGTGGTCATAATAGACAATGCATGGAGGGTACCGAGGGTACAACTACAGGTTACCTGTTTTCACAGGGCATTATTTTTTATAATTTCAAATTCGTATCCACTCAACATTGGTATTGGAAGGGGAATTCAAATATAGCTTGCATTTTGACTTCATAAACTTGCAATCGAAGCTTGATTTCCAGGAATACAATTAGATAATAGATAATAACTTAGGAAAACAGACTGAGACAGCTCTATGAGCATGAAAACCAAATAAGAACGAAATGTGCATAATTAACACTTCAGAGCAAGAAAACGGAGGCGACATGGTTTCACGCAGAGCGTTAGAAACTTTAAACCAAAATAACAACATGTTTAGAGCACAATATATATCGACAAAAGTAACCCATTTTTCCGTGTCAAAAAATAAAACTCAAGTACTTTTCTTTAGCTTTCCTCACCGTTTCCTTCCTGGTCAAATTTTAAGTTCATCTGTCTATTCTTCGAAGGGTAAAACTTACACAGCAGCGAAAAGAAATTTCGCCGCCGTTGCGATACAACAAAAAATAATGCGTTATAAGATAGTGAGTAGAAAAATAGACAATGAATTGAAAAATTACTTAAAAAAACTATATCGACAAAAATTAGATTTTGTATTACATGAATTTCAAAAGCAGCCTTGAAAGCATAGCGAACCAATTACTGAGCGGCTCCAAAGGCGACAAAAATTGGGTCGACCCCTATTGAGTCGAAGACAAAACTGTTGTCATAAAAACATTTGAGCTATACAGATTTGAACGTCTTTACGGCCCAACCGTACTGAAACACATAAAAGCATACGAACATAGTTTTTTCTCAAAATTACGTCATATAAGTTGACTAAGTCGACATAACATGAACAAAAACCGTTTAACAGTAAAACAAATTATTCAAAATCAAATTTGGTAAATTTACAAATGATAAACTTTCAATTATAGTTGAAACTGTGTACATAAAAAACACAGTTTCATGCTCTGGAAAGCCAACCCAGAAAAACGTATATGAACCGAAGGGAACAACGACGAAAAGAACGAATCCGAAAAAGAATCAACAGAATTTAATTGAAACATAATTACTGCTTGAAACAAACTCGACCTACTGACTACCTAATCTTAATTATTGTAGTTTTATTCAAATTTTCAAGAAATTAAGCATGTTTACCTTTCCTACTGAATTGATCATTCTGTGACCAAATTTAGATACTGGAAAACAAGTCTAGTACCCGATTGCAGCACCCTTGCTGATCGCAAGGGTAAACACGATATTTTCGGGAACTTGCGGCTTCACGCTAGTAGTCTCTGCTCAAACAATTTCCGGAATATAGCTTAGTGAGAAAAACAAAAACGCCTAACAACGTAAAACACAAATAGCCGACTGCTGTGCAAATAGTTCAGAATAATGATTCGACCAGTTATCACAGCAAACAAAAAACGAGAAAAATTAAAACATTGCGATACATCACAAACATCAAAACACACCTCGAAAACATAAAAGTTGAAAAAAGGTCTACCAAAATTCAAAATGTCTCTATAGAAGTTCTTTCTCGGCAAACAAGCCTGGCATTTGAATATCAAATTAGCAACAGAACAAAACTTACGAAGATAAAATAAAGCCGACAAACTTTGACAAACTTTATCAAAAAAAACTTTCACGATTCAAAGCCCAGCTCATAGTACAATGAACACCACTAGCACTTACAACTACAATGAAAATTGCTTAAATCAGAAGAAAAATCAGTAACGTGGCAACTAAACCGACAATCTTTGAGCCGACACCAGCGGAGCCGAAAAAAAAATTATAAAAAAGTGTTCACAATCTTTCAAGTCTGCCATGAAATTAGAATGAACAACACTTGTGACTGCAATGAAAGCTGCTTACAGCAAAAGCAAAATCCGTGATGTGGCAACATAGCCGACAAAGCTTGAGCAGACAAACGAAAGTGCGACGATTCAACTTTAAGCAATATATTTTTCCAATTGCATACATACTGAAAAAAAAATTATGTCCAAGACTCGAACCAGACCTTAGGGTGCTGATAGTATAATATTCCGTCCTTCATAAAATCATGCAAAAAATCATATGTGAAAGAAAATCATTGAAATCAACACTCTACACTAGATTTGAAACCGAAAAGCAAAAATTTTGCACTGTGACAACCTTTTTGAACTATCCTTTTTCGAGATCTCACGAATGAAAAGTTCTGATTAAATGATACATTTTAAGTCTAATGAACTTTTCAGCGAAAAAAGGAAAAGTAAAGAAAACGGTGACACAGAGGTGGGGCAGAGATTCGCACCACTGGTCATACAGTTATTTGTACAATGAGTACAACTAGTAAAATCATTTATTTACATATCAGCACAAAAATTCGAAAACAATTAGTCTTGCAGCACGCTTAGTCTGACTTCGAAAAAGACATATATCTTAGCTAAACCAGAAAAAAATTTAAATGAAGAAAAATGTGACAAAAAATGTTGCAACAAGTGCAGTTTGCTAAGTTAAGAAAGCGAAAACGTTCCAGCAAAAACCTGAAAAGAAACAAAAAAACGGATCCTTTAGTTAAACAAATCGAATTTTTTAATTTTAAACAGAATTCAGCATCCAAAATCTGAATAGCAGTTTTTCATAATTTCAAAAAATGCCGTGAAAAAATCAGAGAGAATCAAAAAATGGAAACGACCAAGTAAACCTTATACAAAAAACCATTTTTCGAAAAACAATCAAAACAATGTTTTTTTAACTTCACATAAAAAATTTTGTGGAAAGTAGATTGGTTTTCCTACAGCGAAAAGATTTTGCGGGAAAAATGAACGTTAGACGTAAAATGAACTAGCACAATTAGTAACATTTTCTGAAAATTCACGATAATATTTAGCTCGAACACGTTCACATCAAATGAGCAAAACTTCATTTTATCTCGAGCTGGAGACAAAATTAGTCTAAATTTTTTAGCGAAAAAGAAAGAAATCCTATCATGTTACGCCAAAAAATTATGCTTTGCACATCCAAAGACTGTAACGCTCGACTGCACCAGATGGCGCAAAAAATGTCGAAAACCACGAGCAACATAATTGAATTATGGTAATCATTGCGATAGAAGTAGATTAGAACTACCAAATCAGGTCGCTGTTCTAAGCTCAATCGAGGTTCATGGTAATTATCTTGTGGCAGATTTAATTTAGCGTCTGAGCGGTTTCATACAATGCGCGCACTGATTGTCGCATAAAAAAGGGCACCTCTAAAATTGAGAAAAAAATCAAGGAAAAAACGGGAGTTCTTTGAGTTTGCAAGTAAAAGTGCTCAATAGGGCAGATAAGAGGTTCAATTAGCGTCAATAATTCATCTTGCATTTTAAGTAAGGAGCCAAAAACTCTTGCAAATCCGCTCATCCCACGAGGATAAAAGGTCCAAGGTTACGTTACCCGATCAATTAATCACAAAACCACAAACTGATACTTCTGGCTTCCGATTTTACCAGTTAATAAACTAATTAAAAAGATTCAAAAAACTAACTGATTTCTTTGAAATCCTTCAGGAATATTAGGTTTATTAAATATCACATTCCATACTTTTTCATAGGAAATTCCTTCCTTACCTGTCAAGAGACTGAACTCTCACAAACTTATGCGTATTAAGAGGAGAGTTGCTCTGCGATAGACTCAGAGGTCTCTGCATTGTGTGCTGCTCGATTCCTATTGGTCGATTGTGACTCATAGTTGAGCTCCTCAAGAGTCGCGATTTGGTGGCTGTGGAAATAGCTTCGGGTGGAATCGAGTCGTAAGTAACGTATGTTTTATTTGAGGCCATTTTTCGTTCTTTTTTGGTTAATAACGAGCTTTTTTAACCACTAAGGAGGCGTTAAAACCCCAGCGTTAACTAAAATTGTTAAAATGAGAACAAAGTGTCAATAAAAATGAAGAGTTGTCAGCATGAATTGATAAAAAGAGTATCCAGTTAGGTAAATACAAATTTTATTGATTCTCGGAATGAGTAACTGATTCAGCTATTTATATTAACCAGCCCGGAACATTCTGATTAAAACCCCACTCCTGAATTTATTCGTACTTTTACTTACAAGTTAACAAAACGTGTTCAAAATGCAGATGTTTTGGATAATCTTCCAATCGAGGATCTTATTGTGTTGTGACTCACAATACAGCAGAGGGATTAATTCAACAGCTGCGTTAGAGGGTTTGGTAATCTAGCTCCAATTATGGAGCCGAAACTTGAACAACGAATGAATTGTCGCCTCGCACAGTTAAAAAAAAGAATACAACAGTTGCCAGAAGATGTTAAAAAATTCAGTCACAACCTTCTTTGATAAACTGTTACGTAAAAAAACACCCAAAAATTAGAAAAAAAATAGTTTCACAGTTTGTTGTACTTTTAATACAACTGCGAAGCAGACTTTTAAACAGCCAACTTTATCCAAATAAGAAATCTGAAAACCCATTGGCGTAAATTTCACCACGAGACAATCTGCAAGCTAGGAACTAAAAACCCTAACACTTATTAAATCAACTAAGTGCCACTTTTCTAAATAACCCAAGGTTGAAGTGCAAATTCACAATGCAAAATGCAACCAATTGTTTTAAATTCAAAATGACAGAAATATTCATAAGTAATCACTATTGTTACTCGAAGCGATTTTTATCTTCAAGTTATTTGAACACGAAGGGTAAGTTAAAGCAAGAAAAACAAAAGGTTATTGCGACCAACTGAGTAAAATCAAGTAGCTTCGTTGCAAAATGCAATCAAAATTGCAATTACACGTAACCATTCACTTGCGAAAGGAAACATTTCATAAAGCAAATGTAATTTAGAAAGTAAAGAACAAGTGTATCAGCTCAACTCATGTTGTGGCCAACATTTAAGACCTCACACCTTTAAATTTAGCCCAGTTTCTTGTCGATTTCCGGACGAAGGCTATAGTGTCCAGTTATCTGGCTGTATTAACTGTACTTCCACGGTATACAATCTACCTTTTTTCGTTGACAAAAAAAAACAGACTAGTATTATAAACCAGCGATAAAGACTTACGCGGGTTTTCCTTCAAAAAAAAATGTATACTGAAAATTTGACGCTCTACTTTATTTAAATGTATCCAACGAAAGAAGTATTTTCAAAAGAAAAAGAAAATTGGATAGAGATTTCATGTATTATGGTTTCCTAGCATGAAAGGGGAGTGAAATTTCACCATTGAAGATGATAAGGTCCCTTCTAATCATTCCCAGCATTTTACTACTTACTTTCCTCTTTTCTCTGGTCTAGGCAGCCTTCAAAAATAGAAAGGAAGGCAAACTATGGGGAAATTAAGTCCTAAGAAAAGTTTTTTTTAAAGTTGGAACCTTTTCAAAATTTGACTCTATAAGAATTCCAATATCAATTTACATCCTAAAGCAATTACTCCAAAATGCATCTCAAAATAGCATAAAATATTTTTATAATCGAACTTTTCAATTCGACTGCAATCTATCTCTGGCAGAGTGAAAAACTCTATCTATAACAATATTTCCTATAATTTGAATAGCTGCCCAGGAGCTTATAGTAATTCAACGTACATTACATTGTCAAATCCACTCCCAAAAATTCACTTTCTTTAATAGTAGCAAGCCTGGGGCCTCGCGGAATCCTAGCTAACCATTTAACCTTCACAAAAAATGGAAGTTACAAGCACTCACTTAGCAAACTGTGAGGCGACAACTCGTAACAGGCGACAATTTCATTTTACAAGAAATCTTAACAGGCGACAGTTGATTAAGCGGAAAACACTGATTCACGCCCAGTATTCCTCTCGTGTCGGATGTAAGACCAGCGGAGCAAGCGTATTCTATATGCCAATACCTTGTTTAGAAATACAGCTTATTATGAGTTGTCGCTGCAACGAAATGTCGCCCTACCTTTGCAAAAAGATTCGCAACGAAGGTTTTATGATAAATTGGGAATCCGCATACAATTAGATCGCTTAAAATAATTCCCTTCACACGCATACATGGGAAAAACATCTAAAACGAAGATATGCCTACATTCATTTCCCCCAAATTTTCTAAATTAATTCTATTGACATTTCATGAGCTTGCGTGAGACACACGGCCTTTAACACAAAAGTTGCGGGTTCGGTTCAGACTAAGGTCAAGATCCGACGTGTCCCAGTGCCATCCGCCTTGCCGAGGTGGGACATGCTACGTCAAAAATGATGACATCTATCTTCCTCAGGGAAGCCACCTCAAAGGTTGTAAGGAGGAAGTAGGGCCGGAAGAATGATATCTCAAAACTCGCACATGAAGTAAGCACTATAATGCGCTATTTAGGCAATTGAAAAAAAAAACGGCAAGCAAAACATCTACATCCATTTTTATTCTCTCGAGCTGGAACTTTTGCTGTTTAGCCCCTTTAGATCTCCGACAACCGGAAAATGTCCTAACACAGACCTTTCTGTGAAGCCGGCATTTCTTTCATCCCGCTTTTAGTCGGAGCTCTCGGTGGATGGTCCTCGATCGCTACAAACCAGTGCGGGTCGCCTCCATGGCCGCTGCACGCTCTTCGTTCCCGGACCCTCGGCCGACTGCGTCTTACCTCCTCCAGTAGCTCTCCGTAGTAATTCAATGCGGTAAAACTAGCTGTTGCTGGTCCGACACTGGCGCAACTGAAACTGCCTGTCTATAATTTCCTTTACTGTCTTTACTTCAGTGTTTTAAAAACGCTCAGTTATTTGTCTTTACTGATTTATACCAAATTCTTCAACTTAAGTTTTTTCATACCGTTTCTTCCTATTGCAAATGCACGTAAAATTCACTTCATGCGAAATAAATAATAATCACAACCCAATTAGAGAAAACTGGATCAAAATATCATTATCTTATTCCGCAGGGATATTTAATCTAAAAGGTAATATCTAATTTTGAAACTAAAAGTCACTCACGCTTTTTTGGCCTTCCTTTTGGGAGAAATTTGCCTTCTTTTTAGCGAATCAAATTGAACCGAGCTTAACAAGAAATCGAAGCTCAAACTGCAAGAAATCAAAGTTTCGGCAAGAACAAATTTAACGGCGAGTTTTTCTGAAAAAAAAAACAATTACATCGATACCACCTTTATAAGTGTCTCTACTACGTTAAATGATACTTAACCAGATTACGCCGAGAGTTCTGAAAAATAACAGTTAGCTCAAACAACAAGTTGATATCTATTTTTGTGTCACCTCAACAATTTTTAAGCTGAGTGTATAGATTGTCATCTATGATGAAGATTGATATAGCTGTAAACGGGGAAAAAAAAGAGATAAATAACGGAAGTTAAAATAAGCCTTGAAAACACTTCTGTTATGTACAGGAAATGAACCTTTGACCTGGAATTAGGAGTCTCACGACACACGACCTCTAGTAATAAAGCAGATGCTATATAAATGCCAACGTTATGCAGCAAAATTTTCACTAAATGAGCAACTGGACTTGCGAACTGGATTAGAAAAAGCGAACTCGTAATAGAACACTACTTTCGCTAGCTCGCGATGCCAAAACTTCAGGTCTTAAATTCAAGAAACGTACCAATCAATGGTTTTGTCACTAATCTTACACGAACAACATAAAAAATAAAAAAGAGCAAAACAGTTATTTCCAGAAAATAGCGCTTGAAAATATTTTGCAAAATTTTTCCAAATGCTACCATATGAAAAACTGTTTTTGAAGCATTAATGGTACCTTAGCAACTCATAGCAGCAATTAGTGGAGCCATACTAATCAGCAGAAACTCTAGATCTCCAGCTGAAATTTTCACTGCCCGCACATGAGTAAAGCGAAACCAAATGAAAGATAAGAAAAAATAATCACGACCTATATTCGAGTCTGAACTACGTTCATCGACTCCTAAAAACAAAATCACAAACTTTACTAGATGAGTAATGACTTCGAGCGCAAGTCTTCTCACATGCAAAACTGCACTACGGAAACACAAGCGAGAAGGTTGAAATAGCTTTGAACAGTAAGAAAAAGATAAAGAACGAGAAAGTAAAAATAGGCCTTGAAAAGACTTCTGCTATGTACAGAAATTGAACATCTGACCTGCTATTAGGAGCCTCTGGACCCACGGCCTCTACCAATAAAGCAGATGCTATATAAATGCTATGTAATACAGCATATGTTCCATAAATGAGCAACTGGATTTGCGAGTTGGATTAGAAAGTGAACTCATAATAGAACACTACTTTCGCCAGCTCGCGATGCAAAAACTAAAAATCTTAAATTCAAGAAGCGTATTAATCAATGATTTCGTCACTAAGCTCACACAAACATGTAGAACAAAAAAAACACTTATTTGAACAAAATAGCCCTTGAAAATATTTCACAAATTTTTTAAATGCTACCATATGAATAACTGTATTTGAATCTTAAGTATTAATGGTACCTTAACAACTCAATGCAGCAATTTGTGGAGCCATACTTATCAGCAGAAACTCTAGATTCTCAAGCTGAATTTTCCACTTCGCGCACATGAGTGAAAATCAACCAAATGGAAGATGAGGTTGCAAATTACTTCAAGAATAACTTCAAAAACTAAACAAAACCTTTTAAGTCAAAAATGACGCGCAGATACCTGTAATATTACCCCAGCCATGTTTATGAATCAATCGCTAAAACCACAAAAACTGCAGTTTAAGACTCAATCGCTAAACCAACAAAAGCTGGAGTAAAAAGCAATCAAATGAAAGATGAGGTTGCAAATTACTCTAAGAATATATTGAAGCAATTTTTTGCTTCTTTCATTACAAAACCCTTGAAATATAAAATTTGTCCCAATTTTGCGGCGGTCAAGGACAATTTGGAAATTTTAGCAAATTTCTGCCGTTTTTATAATCGGCCAATATCAATAAGTCCCTGGAAATGTTTACTTTCTTTCCAAATTTCATATTACTGAGATCTGATTGGCTGATTTGTATTTTCTCGCATTTAGCCCTTCGCGCATGAGGGATTCCACCTTAGAATGCGTAGCGTTGTAAGCTAGCGATTAGAAAATGAGACCGAAATAGCAACGAACAAAATAATTGAAAAAAGGAAAGAAAAATTTCAGTTTCAGAAAAACTGTGGGAAAAGATATCTACTGCCGTAATAAAGCTTTTTAAGCATTACCGAGCAGCCACTAGGCCAGCAAAATGTTGTTTGGATCCCCTTAAGCCAAAAAAAAACAAAAAATGTTGTCATGAAAAAAGAGCGATTAAGTTTGAAAACTTTAAACCCTTTGAGCAAATTTGAGTCTTACGCACTAACCACTCAGCCACGGATGCTTAGAGTCCCAAAAAAACTAGCCACCAATAATGAAGCTACATATGCTAAAAAAAATTCAAATCCAATGCAGCAAAAGTAGCACCAAATACGAAAAGTAGCACCAAATACAAATTTTGCGTGCAATAAAATGGAAACTATTAAGCCAAATTATGCATAAATTGTGCATTTCAAAAAAATTACGCAGCTTATTTGGAAAACTTCTGAAATCGAGCATTTTATAATCGTTTCGCTGCATAGTTTTTTTCGGTTCATTTGATGATTCATACAGAGTCAAAGTTGCACTTGGGATACACAAGCAAAAATATGACCGACAACGCTACTGGGAAAACTGAATGAGTAAAACTTTGAGTCTACAAAGTTTCTTAAGTGACGCACGCCAATTATGAGCCTACATAATTGCAAAGTGACGCAAGCCAATTATGATGCATAAGAAGTACCAGTCAATTTGAAAAAAAAAATACAAACTAACATGCCTCAATTGATATATATGATAAATTTCATTAAAAACATCCGCCCCTGCCCAGGTTCAAACCCCCTTATTTTGCTGCTGGTCTCCTTCCCTACCTCTACGCTACAGAGCCATGATGCCTTGAGGCTAACGTGCAGTTTGTAATATAAGTAGCTGTGTTAAAATCCTTGGTAATGTCTGCACTTAATAGCTGGATCAAGATGAACACTCTGAAAATGAACACATTCTGTCGCAAATGCATCGCAACAATATTTGCGACTTAGGTTGAAAAAAAGAAAGTTCAAATTAATACACTTTGCTTCGCAAGTACAAATAAACATATTCAGAGCTAATAAAATTACACATTGAAGCAGTAAAACAACAACACTTGCATTTATAATGAAAAGTTCATACAGCTCAAGAAAATGCGTGATGTTACAGACAGGCGAAAATCCGACGATTAATTTTCCCGGAATTTTGGATTTTTTTCGTGTTTTAAACTATTTTAACTTTTTTTACGCAAAATCATAAATTACAAAAATAGTGAGTGATGTCATACTAAAACATTTTCAGTTGTGATTCATAAAACATCAGTTTTCCCGAAAAGTTTTTGAGGAAAAACCGGTTTAAAATTTTTGCTTAATTTCAAGTTAGTGAAGAGTTTAAAAAAGTTCCATACAGCGCTTCCTCGGCAATAAAAATTCTGAGGAGATTTTTATGATGCTGCTCGGAGGCGAAGCTGGTCTTCAAAAACAGTAGCGAGAACACAAAATGAGGCTCTATAAAGTGAAATAAAAAGTAAAAATAAGCCTCGAATTAGAAAAATTATGCTACGGATTCTTACCTGCGAGATTACAAGTCGAACGCCCTTACCTCTCAGCCACGGACGCTTAACTATCGAACAACACTAGGTTAACAATCGATAAACACTAGCTTAACTATCGACAAACACTATCACAAACAAAACAGAAAACAGATGCTATTATTATTCCAAAGATACAAATCGTGATTAGAGCACAACTGCCACCAAATGAGCACTATATTTGCGAGCAAGCTTGGAAAAAAAAATAAAGTCATACTAATTCACTACTCTCGCAAGTAAAAAAAAGGAGAAAATGTAGAACTAATTTTTTTCGTTATTAAGGTACTCGATTATGCCTTATCTATGTTATAAGCGCCCGTCTCGATCTTCTCATCCCACAGCGCACTATTTTGTGCTACGCGCGACATCAACTTTGCAAAATAAAATTTTATATTAACTGGGTGCAACTTTCTGGGCACAGCAACTGTCTTTACTTGTGTTCTTTGCAAACATGTGGTAGGAGGGAGCTACTCTGGTCTTTTTACAAACCGCTAAAAAAGCCAATTTAAAAGAATTGTCGGCCTGACAAACTTTACATTCAAACAATGATAGTTTCGAAGTATTCTACGGTTGGAAAAAATCAACATGAACACTACAAATTTTGTAATGTAAAATACATATTTGGTAAATATACTGCGGAAACCTAATTTCAATTAACTTGCCTACGGAAAATTTTTAACGATATGTAACTAATTTCTGTCAGGCATTGATGAGGCAAAAAATTTTCGATACGAAGCTCGTAAAAAAAACATTTCAGTAGTAGTGCTTGTCTGAGAAGTGTTGAATCGCAGCAACTATGGTAACGTCTATTTTGCTACTTTCCTACCAATTACAGGCAAATATATTGTCAAATATTGACATTATGACGTTTTTTCAGATTTAACAATTGGAGCATCATAAATCTTAGCATTGACCGCGAAAGCATGTTATAACTCCAGCTAGCACACTCATGCATGTATTTGCTAAAATGAACAATCTGACTATGTTTTAAGAAGTAAGCTAACAATGACGTATCTAGACCAGTACAATAACGTCAGAATTTCTAACCATTCTTAATTAACTTCTAACTTGATTCAGGTCGGATCGTTGTCAAAACTAGTTTTTCTTTTGAAAAGTTTAAATTTTCAACTTATGTATGTTAACTACGCACTGTGTATTATTTAATACTAATGAACCAAATAAAAGAATTTTTATCAAATAGAATCTGGAGTAGAATGCACTTTAGTAAAAGGTCATTTGAAGGAAAATGCCTTCGTTTTTTTCACAAGTTGTTACTCTTCCTGGCCACGTGATCAAAACTTCCGTTTCCGGTGACGTAATACCATCTGTGAAGTTACGTAACATTTCTCCGAATACCCCATCTCGCCGAAGCAGTTATGCAAACGATTATGAAACAAGTGTTAATAAAACAGCTGTAATAGGGTGGTCGTATGTAAGGTAAAGTACTAAGTAAGTAACGAATCTAAATCATATAAAAGCTATGTATATCGTATTAACATAATTAGGAATATTATCAAACACATTTAAATTTAGGCCGATAATTGTGAGGTAACGAATTTTTTCGCTGACTTTCTAGCAGAATTCGCAAACCATTCCAATGTTTTTCGATAGAAGCTCTTTTTGAAAGCAGAACATTATTCAATTAAATTCAAATCTGGACCAAAATTTCACCATTCGAGTAATTAGCGGTTTCTTTAGATAGACTTTCTCCTTTGTTTTTATTGCTATAACTGTTTATGAAACAGACTAAAACTCTCGTAATCATTTCATTTGCAATTTCTACAACTAATACGTTTTATATTTCATTCTCATAACTGCTGTTATGCTTCGAAACCGTAATTACAACCAGCCGAATGACGAATAAGCCGACGAGCTTAAAGACGGCGACATCTGACGGTCATCGGGTAATTGCGACGAAGAAGAAATATTCTGCTGTTGTACATTAAAAGCACCCAATTCTGCGCCTGGATTCGAACCCGCGCTTACTGCGGCCAAACCCAAAGAAGAAGCACCATGATGTTGTGAAATATCAATCCCCGCGCTGCGTAGGATCCCGCTGACACTCATTGACACCGGATCCAGGTTAAGAACGTCTTCAGCTCCTCGCGATGGCGACGATATCGAGTCTTCTGTCGATGCCGAAAATAAGTTCACGCTCCTACTTGTTACATGCCCACTACCTCTGTCGCCTGATTGCTGTGAACTCTCGCCCTCTATCGACATGCCTTCATCGTCGTCATCATTATCTGAGTCATCGTTATCATCTGAAGCGCCGCCGGCTCCTCCAAAAAACAGATTACGATGGTCGTCCCCACCTGGACCTGAACCCCCTCTGGGATTATTTCGAGGGTTGTGTCTGTGTTGAGCCCCTCTGGTTAAAGTAGCACCTGTGAGTTCACTGAATTCGGAGGGGGGCGCTGGACCCCACACTTTAATTGTGCAGTCGTCTGACACTGAGACTAACATGGAGTGGATAGTTGGATTCCAGTCAACTCCGTTCACCTAAAATTACAAAAAAAAGCATTCTTACCCGGACGATCAGAATATTATACACTAATGAATTCTAACAAAATGACGGCTAACACTTTCGATGTTCCTGGTACTGTATCTCGATAGTCAACTTTACAACTCCGTTCAGTACAAAAGTCTAAATTTGTAAGCATTTCCTGTTCAATTATTTAATCAGGCTCTAATTTTCTTCTAGCTTCTGACCAAAAGCTTTTTATACAACCTAGTACGGTCACTAAGAAAGATCATTCTTAATTAAGAATCTTGAGGAAAACAATTACGACACCTCTATTTAAATTATTCAATTCTACGCTGTCTCAACCTTGCCTACCTGCTTCGTTGAAACTAAACGAAAACAGTGTACCCTAAGACAGGCGGATAAATGCCACAGAACTCAACGATACCGAATAAAAACATAACTTCGAGTATATATACAAAAATAAAAATGATAATTAAAAACTTCTTTTCGGGCAGCTACTTTGCGTGTAGGTAAATTAACAAATTTACCAAACCAAATTTACCAAAATAAATTAACAAACCACGCCAACAATTTCAATGACTGCGAGAGCACCATTGGACTAACAGGTCCGTTAACAGTGTCTCATTCAATTTTAAGGTTCTTTATTGTTCCGCACAAAACCAGGTACTACATATAATCATTGGAATGGGTCGAGTGATATACCAAATTGAAGCCCTTTCAGTCGTGATTGGAACGACATTAAATTTTTTCCAAAAAGTTTTCTCAGTATCGACAAAAACTGGTTTAAAATTTATGATTTTATTTCAATATTGAAGAAAAAAGCGAGGGAGCAGACTTACAATAGCCTGATTATGCTTAATTTAAGCCCTGAACACTTAACTTTAAGCAAAGAAAATTAGTTTTTGATCGTTTTTTTGTTCGTCTTATTTTTCTCCAAAATCTTTTGTCCAATTTGCCGATACTGCTATGGCTATCGAATATGCCTACAATATAGTTTTACATCAGATCCTTTTATCACAGCACGCAGAAGAAACACTAATTAAAAAAATTCTAGTTTGTTTAAAGACTATGGTTGTTGTTGTTGTAGCTACATCGATCTCTGCTTTGAGCTTCTGATTGAACTAGAGAGGTATTTTATGTTTGAAAGATCAAGGGAGAGAGTGCTAGCGAAATATTTTTCCTGTCTGGTCATGTTGATTTCGTCTCGTTCAATCTATCACTGCAGTTCCCCCGGGGTCTCAAAGGGCAAAACCGGCGTAGAAGGGGAACCACCTTTTCTAGTGATAGCGTCTTTGCGCTGCGGTGTCGGCACCTTCCCTCTGTATAGCACACACACGAGGAAGGTTTTGATGTGTTAATAAACCTGTTTTATGTGCCAAGTTTATCGGGGTGCGGGGAACCGCGTGAAACTCCATTGCCGGTTCAAGCGGGCAGTTTTTGTTAGTGAGGAAAGCCGAGAAAAACTCCGGTTACGTGGGGTTGTGTGATAAGCTGCAGATGTTTGTCAGCTTCTTCGAGATTCTCCCTTAAGCTCTCGATGGTAAGTGAGGTTAGGTGTACCCGGCAGTTAAACAGATGGTCGGTGGTGTGTGGTCCTATGTAGCAACTTGGACAGTCGTCGGATGTATTGTTGTTTAGCCTGTGGTGGTAGCTGGCGAGGTGAGTTGAATATCCGGATCGCAATTGTGACAGTGTGTATCGAGTTTTTTCAGGTTAAGTTTGCTGTCAAAGACTATGGTCGGAACAGTCTGTACTACTAAATTAAAATCCACTCGCCAACTAGAAGTCATTCGAGTTTTTTGGGCAATTTTCAGTTTCGCAGTTTCGTAAATAAAGAGCGAACTTTGCCGTTTTTCTTAAAAAAATGAATCAAAAACCTCAACAAATTAGAGCTGAGCTTGAACAAATTTTTAATGCAAAGCAATGTAAGTCCTGAAAGAAAAACGAAAAAAAAAACGACCTATTTAAGTGTCTTCAGGGTGCTCATTGACACTTAGAATATCTCCCCGTACATATCATTACAAAGTAAAAATTTATGGCTATCTTTTCGCTTTTCTCAGAAATCTCAAATTGAGTTACTCAAATTAAGAGTGACCTTACAATGATGCATACCGAGAATTGTAACGAAACAAAGAGAAGACGTTGAGACAAATTATTCAAAGGAATGTTTCGCAGCAACCTGGTCTTAAGTTCCATAAATTTGAATCCTATATAGCAACATCACAGTTGATTTGCTGAAAAAGTACAAAATTGAAGGCCTTTCAATTTTTCCGCTCAGAGCATACTTTTGGACTAAATACTTTCTAAGTGAACACTTTCTTCAAACTATGTTTCGGCTACGTACTCAACCAACCAGATTCAAGCATTTTGCTCTATTTTCATTCGGGGTCTCATGATTTGAGCGGAATAAGTAAAAAAAGACTCCAACTTGAAATCATCTACTTTTTAGTTATCATTATTCTTTAAAACTCAAGTATACTGACCTGTTTGGTGTGTCCGGATAGGACTGCGATGGGGAGGTGTCTGTGTCTGTGCCAGATGTAGACACACTTGTCTTCACTGCCACTGGCCACTAGAGAGCCCTCCTCACTCCCGCCCACACTCGAGTAGATCAGGTCCCGCTCCACCTTCAGGCCAGCTAGTCTGGTCAGCAGAGTACCACTGTCCAGGTGGAAGATCTAAACAACAAATTCATACAAATTGAACAGAAGGGGTGAAACAGTGTATTGACGCATAATGAAAAAGTCGTATAAATTATAATCGTATAATCCGACTATCGTATAACGTATAATCCCATATCTTGACTTTCGTATAAAAACCGTATAATCGTATAACTTCAGATAAAAATTCTAATTCAATTTTAGCAACCGCTAAAGGGTTTTTAGTTTGTTTTTGCTGCTTGATTATATTTTTGCCGGAAAATCTCTGATTGCACTCAGAAAACTTTTTGTGTTGGAATTGAGCTGCCCCTAATATTAATCGATCTTGCAGTACTCAATGAAAAATCGTCGTCTCACAAAAAAGGGGCCAATTATCGGTTTCGTATAATCGTACAATTTAGTGTATAAATCTGATCTCTGGTTAATCGCATAATCTAATACCGTATTAGGGTTTTTTTTGTATGTTGTCCCATATCGTATAACGTGTACAAAACACTGCAATAAATAAATGGAACAGAATCACGTATTGTTATATTTCAGACAGCAAAAAAAAAACGTCAATATGGAGCCTTAGAAGGCAGAAAATAATTAGGAAAACAAGCTTTGAAGGAATAAGCTACCAACAGGAGTTGAAAAAGCGTTAATCAACAAGAAAATAAGGTGGAAGAACTAGAGAACAAATGAAGCGTTCACCTTTAGTAACCAGAAACTCAAAATATAGACCTTTCGGAAATTGGTGAATAAATAGCGATGATAATGTCATCAAGCAAAAAAAGGAACAGGTTAATATTTTTTAGCACCTAGCAGGAATGAACTGAAAAGACCGCCGCAAACTATTTTTCTCCATTTTAACTCAACTTAATCTTAAATCAACTTAACCTTAAATTACCTTGAGTTACCATGATATTGAGATTTAGTCACATCAAGATAAAAAAAACACTGTTCCAATACTACAAATTCAAAATCAATCGAATTTGTGAAATGCAATCGTGCCTTTCAATCTACTTCCGAACTCGAATCTAAACATAAAAGGGAACCAACCTGTATTCCTCCTCCCTTCTCCATAGTACACACTAAGAACTGATCGCACTTGGACACTTCGAGGGCCATGATGGCCTTGTCTGTCTGGATTATGGTCGCATCTCTATCCACACAGTAAGACCTCACTCTGTTGTGGTTGTCTGCAGCTAGCACTGTGTTCTCCCGCTTGTATGAGGCCAGTGCTATCACTCGAATGCCCTCCCAAGAACTCTCGATGTTTCCTGAAACGATGATTTTTTCTCTCGAGCTGCTTTAATTCACTCTGTTCTCTCAAACTGAGATTAACTTTCAGTTAACCAAAACGTGAGTTTAAATTCGACAAAAAACTTGATTTTGTCCCTGTTTGATTCGAAGACCATCACATTATTGTGCTTAAGATTTCAAAGAAAAGACAGCTCAAGCGTTTTCGCCTTAAAAAAGGTATTTAATAGTGGCGTGTCTTACCTTATTTGTTAAAAAATTTCAAAATACACCCAAAATTTCCAATGGATATTTATACAAGCTTTCTTGTACAAAAAAAAACAATGCTTCTCGACAGCTTTCAAAACCTTTAGATTCAGAAAAAAAATAAAATGATACTTTTACAGAGAATTTTCCTAAACATGCTTGTATACCTGTGCTTGCTTTGTCAATTTAATTATTTGCCGTAGCTTGCGGACTCTAAATAATATCATTTGCGTGGGTATAACGGAAATTAATCCATGTTAAATTCAGAATGTAAATCCTCCCGTTGCGTTTACCGGATAGATCGCAGAGGTAGAAGTGTCCCTGGATGCCAGCCACTGCAAAGTGGGAGGAGTCAGGTAGCCAGCAACAGGTAGTCAGACAATCCTCCGGGGAGTTGGACACCCGCACCATGCGATCCAGGGTCACCATGTTCCACAGGATGGCTTTGGAGGGGGAGCGAGCACCACAACTCAGTAGATACCTTAAAGTGAGAGCATGATTTAGTGAACAAAATGCTATCGACCAAGTGAATTATTTATTATCAAGCAATAATATAAAAACCCAGTGAATTTTCTCAACCTCACAATCAATTGGGAGAGAGGGGGGTCCCATGGCCCTACTATTGTCTCATACTGCCACGACCACTACCGACAATTGGAAAACCCCGATAGCGTAGGTAACTTTTTCCGCATGGTTTTAGCTACCTCCTATTAAACCCCCCTATCATGATTTGGATTCTAAAAAGATTTCAAAACAGCAAAACATCGCTTCGCTAGAAGTATTATCACAGATGATTCTAGAGTAAATTGAGTCTTTGTGTCGTTGAACAAATCACTTTATAATTTGACAACTAAGTAATTTTTGATATATTGATTTTTTTGCAATATTGAAATTTACGTTAATTGCTAAAAGACATTTTCCTCCTCGGGTATCTTTTTGATAACTAAAAAAAACTGCCCCAAATAAATTTGAATGCACCAATAAAGCCTTGAGAGAGTTACACTTTTGCACAGTAGCGGTACCGAAAATGCCGATGGGTAAAAAGGAAGACTCATAGCTGCCTGACAATAGGCAAACACTCCCAATAAACTAGAACAGATGTTATCAAATTGTCAATGCTATATAGCAAAAAAGCCCTTTAATCAGCTCTTTTTATTTCCGAGGTGGGTTGAGAAATGTCGATTCAAAAAATAACGCTATGCTAGCTAGCTCGCTTGCGTAAAAACCATCAACAGCGTATTTCAACACTCTACCAAACCCAGTAAAAAGGGTTAGTTAAACAATTGCAGATGACTAGCCAAATCGAACAAAATTATCTCTGTTCCAAATTTGGAGCAAAAACAATTGATACTCTGAGCATCGATTGTACATTAGCGCTGGTTTATAACCATATACTGCAAAAAATATATATATTATTAAACACAAAAGATAGCGACCTAAGTCGCAAAAATGTAACGAAATGTCAGCACTTTTTACACACAAGCCAAGCGAGAAAAAAGCAAGAAGTCGCTCAAGAAATGTAAAAATTGAAATAAGGAAAAAATTTAACCCTTGAAAATTTTTTGCTTTGTGCCTAGAAGACAAGGAGTTTCACTTACTCGTATCTGCGCCCAGGTCGCTTTACAACAGACAACACCAACCACCAATGAAATCTTTTTAAAAAATCTTTGGAAATTGAAACTTTTGCAATGAACCGAACTCGAATCGCCCGACATGTTAAATGGAAGTCTCACACCTGCTTGACAATAGGCAACCACTGACCATCAATATAAAAAAGAGATCAGATGCTATTAAATTACCAGTGCTATAAAGCAAAAATGCATTCAAATAAGCACTTTTATTTGGGACTTGGGTCGGAGAACGAGGATTCGTAATCAGGCGCGGATCCCACATCACTATAAAGACCCTATAATGACCAAATTTTCTGCGCCGCAGACAACTTTTTCAAAAAACAGGCTAAAAAGCGTTTTAGGGCAATTTTTGGAAAATTTCGACCAAAAAATAGCGTTTTTTTCGGCGCGCGCTTCCGCTCAAAATTAGTATTTTTAAAAAGCGAACTCATATTATAACACTGCGTTGATACAGTTGGAAAAATGAAAAACACCCAAAACTTGGAGCAATGCTAATAACCGTCATTAACTTAACCATCTTTACCTGTCGTCTGGTGACCATGCGAAGAACCCGACAGATGCCTCGTGGTCTAATTTCTGATCACATAGTTTCAGTTTGTGGTGCTCTGTGACTGTGTAGAGCTGGATGTGGTGTGAGTTGCCGCCTGCTGCTAGAGTGGTCCCTCTGTGGTTGAACTTACAATACAGGTACTCCTCACTGTCCATTATAGTCTGTTTCATCCGACATGGCAACTGGTTCTTCGTGCACCTAGACATCAATCAGTGGTTAAGCAGCTCATTTTTCTTACCTCTACAACAGATAATCGTCAGAAAAAATTGCAACAAAATTTAAGTTAAGAAATACAGCTTCAAAACATTCCACGTTAATTATTCTTTCGCTGAGTAAATTTATTCTGCTTTCAAAACGCAAAAAAAATTAAGACACTTTTCGTTTCCTTAAAATATTTCTCATATTAGAGACGCTCATGATTCATAGCATAACCGCATACGACATAAATCCACGAAGTACAAAAATACGCAGCTTTTTTGGGAAAAATTTTGCATATAATAATAACCAGTACAACTCACTTGTGGTCAGTCAATAGGGACAACGTTTGGTAACTACTCGAAGATGAAGATTGAGAATTCGGATTAGAAATTACGCCGTTCGATTCTTGTGACGTCATAACTGCTGCTCCATTCGGCACAGCTGATTTTCGCCCCAGTGTGTCGTTATTCTGCTCGTCTCCACTAATTGTATTACTGCTGGCTCTTTCGTTCGTCTCGTGCAGAGGCGCTTCATTTGATACCACGTGGTACGTGCAGTTGCTAATCTGGTATTGCAAGGACTGGTCAACTAATTTCCGGAGACGTTCTCTGGGAAGCATCACGTTGGGTGGGAGAAATTCGCTGAGTCTGTCTATCAATTGCAATCTAGACTGCTTGCCTGTAACATAAACTGCAATTACATCAATACTCAAATACTTTGAATAATAAACCAGGGTTGCACTGTAATTAACACCTCTGTTATTTACACTGTTATTTAAAATTATTTAACCAGGCCTGTTATAAACTGCTGTTATAAACTGCACTGGCTGACCTCTGTCTCAAAATGTTGAAGCTAGTACCTACCACAGCGGGCTTGGAAAGAGCTTTCTCGACAATTAATTTTGTCCGTTCGGACTTGCGAAACTACCTCGACTCCGAAAAAGTTGGGAAACTTGCTTTTTGTCTCCGTGTACTAAAATCTGATTGAATATAATTCATTGTTTGGTACACTGCTCCAACTTTTTAAAACTTTACCGTTATTAACAGTTAATAATGTTTTTTACGTTAAAAACGTCATAAATCCAGAAGGGGTGTAATTAATGCAACCCTGTAATAAACTTATCAAAATTCATAATGCATCACACTAACTTGATAGAAAATACAATGTCAGCACATATCGAACTTCGAATGGAAAAGGACGAGACCAGCGGATCTGCAATTTGCTTGCCCTATAAAAACTTAGGCCGATACTTGTCATAATAATCAAAACATATTCTGATGATCTTGATTCAGAGTTTTCAGGAAGACTCATTTCCAAAGAAAAACTATCGAATCTTGTCTTTGCAGTCAAAAAACGTTAAATAGATGACGATGATGATGCCCCCGAAAAATTATACACCCATGTCAATATAAAATTCACGAATTCGGGGTATTACGTTTTTTTTTTCAACTACAAGTCAAAGAGCACTACTACAACAGCAGACGTGTTTTACCTTTTCCAGGCCAGTGGGCTGATTTTCGGATCTCTTCGGGCGTTGAAAACATGGCCAAAGAGGCAAGATAGTGACAGCAACTGTGTTTCACAGGAATACGGCTTATGTCACTTCTGAGGCACTTGACAGCATCTAGCACTCTCCCGTCATCCAAAAGCTCCAGAAACTTCTGCTCCTGAAGTAGATACTTCATCTTGTGATGGTGTACACTATGTGAAACTGATTTGCGAAGATCCTCAAGGCAAGACTCGGCAAACCTCCAGTTTCCATTTAGCACATGGTGTCTTAGATTTGTGGCGGAAGGGTGTTCGAGAGAGCATTGAGATTCTCTGGTCAGACAACTGGCCGTATCTGTCAGTCCGATTTCAGTGAAAAACTGGCCAATCACTCGCAGCAATTCTTGTTCGCGCGTTGTATATACTTTAGGCTTCGACGCATTCGCATGGCCATTTGTAACTAAACCGTTTGATACTAAACAGAACATTTCTTAATGAAACAAACAATCACATTAAAATAAGTATGCATTGTCCATTTACAATTTAGACACTCGTTTAGAAGTATGGTACGAAAAACTTTTAAAGATATGGTCCATATAAAAGTTAATAAGTAGAAATAGTTAGTTTTTTTGTAAAGTTTCAGCCACAGAACCTGTTTCGCCTACATGTCATTGGGCTATCATTTTTTTTTGACTAAATTCAATTTAAGGCCAATGAAATGAATTGAAATCTAAGACAAAACCCGATGCACAGTCAAGCAACCCGTTGCAGATGCCCAACAAATTGCGACCCAACCATTCAAAAGATGGAAGAAATTTGGACAAACTGAGACGAAAAGTTCTGGAGAAGAAGACTCTTTTTCTCAATACATTTCAAAAGATAGTGAGATCAGGTCACATGACACAACGAAAACGCCAATTAACTAGAGCCAAAAACTATAAAAATGACGAAATCCGGATCAGTAGTATACAGAATGAGTTATATATTGACTAGATTCTTAAATCATCCACCTTAAAATCTTCAAAGACAGTTTGCGGGACAGTTTGGCAATTAGATGGCAGGATGCTCTGGTCTACCATAAGGTATTGAGGTTCGGACTGTAGCCGAATCTTATTTGTGCAAGGCTGCATCCGGTTGAGCAGAATAGTGTCAGTTCTGTATGAGAAGAGACTTCTTGGGGTCTTGATGGGAGAACTTTAGATGGGGGTTTGTCTGTCTTTTTGAACTATGAGTATGAATTAGCTTTACAGTTTTGAAGTTCTGGTTTACAAAAGACTAAGCTGGGTAAAATCATTTTGGTATTTGGGCTTGTTCGGCCAAGTAGAAACGTATTGGATTTCCGTTATGTTAATACCTTATAATGTTTGGCAGTAAATTGCCAGGTGTGGACGTATGTGGAAGTATCACTAGCGGCATGGGCGCAGTCCAGATTCAGTTTTTAAGTTTTATGTCAAAAACTTAGGAGTGATTCTAACTAGCAAGTACAGCCCAGTCCTTTCAAGGAGGTCACCGTTGATTAAAAGCATCACTGATGCAAGGTCAAGGGTAAATAAGGGCGTAGTTGTTTAGTGAAGGGGAGAGAAACTGAGCTGCTTTAAATTGAAACCGGGCGATAAATGTCTGATACTTCAACATCTTTGCTTGGTTTCGGTAAAAGAACGATGTACGAGTTCCTCTAAATTTGAGGTGTTTTGTTAAAAAGAGGTAGTTTAAAACGATGCGTTTCGAAAATTAAGCTATGAACTATGCAGAGGCCGACAGGGCTTATTACTCAGGTTGATTTCGCTTCTTCAAAGGCAGTCTTAGTCTCAAATGGCAAGAAGTTCAGTGGTTTGTTCAAGCATTTTTTTTAAATAAGTTCCTCTTGGTCTTCCTTTGAGTTTTGTTTCATTGGTCCATTTGTGGACTCTCAGTTGGGTCCATTGCAAGTTAAACGCGTTTGCTATTTGTTTCGCCTCTGAAAATTTTATTCCATTAAAAGAGATGGAAAGATCCTGCTATAAATTTTTTTCCGTTCGATTGAAGACCGGACCATTTTGCAGAACTTAATGGACGAAGTGTGGTGGCTGAAGATTCACAGGAAGTCGAGTACCCCTATCTCTATTTCTTTTGACAGTTTTTTTTTCACAATTTCTCCACAGTGAAAAATGACCCAATACGCTTTACTAAAAATATTTAGCGAACCCACTCAAGCTTCAGATGCTTCTGAAAACTGAAGTTCTCTATAAATTTATTCCAGCCAACTATTCAGACATCTAACTACCTAACCATTCAATCACAAAATCCATCGTTCGGTTGATCCTGTCATCCACGCATTCAGTCATCCTGGTTGGATCAACCGATGGCTGGATGGAAGGATAAATGGCTGAACAGATGTATGGATGGATGAAAAGAAATACAGTTCGCTGACTCGATGGATTAACGGATGGATGATAAGATGGAACGATGGATGGCTGGAAGGACAGATGGGTGGATAAAAGGTAAGTGGATGGATGGACGAGAGATGTGTAGATGTAATCAAGGCTAGTTGACTTAGGGGATTGCTTATTAGATGAATGAATGATGGAAAGCATGATGTATGGATAGATCGATGTTTGGAGAGACGGATGGATGACTGGTTGAATGGATCGACAATGGGTGACTAGATCAATGTATGGCTAGGTGACTTGACGGATTGCTGATTAGACGGTTAGATTATGGATAGCTGGATGTATGCATGGGTAGATGCATAGCTGTCTCGAAGTATAGATGATGGATGGCTGGTTGCCTGAATGGCGATTACATGGACGGACGGCTTGTTCGATTGCTGGTTGGATGTATTATGGATACCGGATGGACAGATGGCTGGTTGAATAATGGTTTGGATGAACGGCAGGATCAATGCAAATATGGTTGGATGACTAGATAGGTGGATGGCTTGGAAGAAAGGATGGCTGCTTGGATGAATAGTTTTTTTGGATGAATGGCTGGTTCAGTATATAGATGGCTGAATGGAAGGATGATTTTTTGGTCGGATGAATGACTAGATCGCTGATTGGATGTAAGGCTGAACGAATAGAAGGCTGGATGGATAGCTAAATGGATAGCTCGATGAAAGAGCGGGACGGATAACTGGTATATTTGAATAACCAAGGATAAAAGTGCATTAGCGTCTGTCATGACGTTTGCATTATCTTCCATGAGCAGTTGAAATATTGAAACCTTAGTCTTAAGGACAACTGCTACAGTGGATATAAAAATTTGTGAAGCGGAAGCTTTGGTTGCTGGCCAATCTTTCAAAAACCCGCTACTCCAATCCAGTCTTCCAATATCTGTAAAACACCATACATAATCGATGTATGTAAAAATTCAGGAGACCTCTCCCCCCCCCCCCCCCTCTAATCCATTGGAGGAAAAAAATGTGCTTTTTTAGCAAAAATATCAATGCAGATTATCTCAGAGCGCATTTCCCTCGTACCCCTTACAGACTATCCGATTAAAACGAAAAAATAAAAACCTAAATTGTCCTTCGAAGGACGCAAAGTTAAAAACAATAAAAGCATGCCAAAAAATTAAGGCAAAAAATTGACCCCCCAAAAAAACAAAGGCAACTCAAACAGAATCAGATTCAGTAAACACATAATCATATGGAAAATGAAGAATACTTTCAACTTAAATGATAATTTGAAGTACAAAAAATCAATTGGATTGCAACTAAGCCGATATAACTTTAACAAACAACCGTTGAATCAATTGATAACCCCAAAATACTCTTCAGTCCAATTTGATAACATCTGCTTCGCGCACACGAGCGAGGAAAATGGAAAAAAGAGCTCTAAAACGCCAAAACAAAGTGACATTAAAAAAAGGAACAAATAAAACTACACCTTAACGCCAAAACGCCAAAACAAAATCACATTAAAAAAGGAACAAATAAAACTACACAGATTCAGCTAGGAATTCTGAGAAAATTTAGTTTTCGAGAAAGTAGTTTTCGGGACTTGTGAGAAAATTTCTATACATAGTTAAAATTTTCAAAAAGAGGTTTCCGAATTACTTACCGGCTTTTCTTCAAAAGAGAGAGAAACACTTTATGTAGGAAACATGTTAAGCACCATCTTGGTTTCCATTAATCATCAACCTTAGAATCAGCCGGTTAAAACTCGAGAAAAGAAAAATTCCAAATACGGACAAATTTCTAAAATTTGACATTTTCTACGGTCATATCTTTTCCCAAAACGTAGGACATAGGCGCTGGAGCAGACAAAACTCGCATAACTTTTTTATACGTTTAAACGCTTAATCTCAGATTTGGCAGGGTAGTTTTTGAAAAAGTCAAAAACTTTCCAAAAACGGTCAAAAGCTCAAACATTGGTTGTTTTCGTGTGTAATAACCTTTCTCTTATACGACAAAAGGGCATAGCCAATTGATCAAGGACAATTTCTAGCAGTTGATCTCGCGGTTAAATCGTTGACCTAAGATTTGGCAGGAAATTTTGGAGACAACTGTTTCAAAAATTAACCAAAATGTCAAAAAACGGCTTTGTTTGAGGTCATACTTTTCTTCTAGCGAAATATGGGAATAGTCGCTTATAATGGGTAGATACCCATAATCTCGGTCTTTTGATTGAAACCACAACCGCAAACTTGCGCAGTTAAAATTTGATATTATAAATCAAAACAAATAGGTCAAAGTTCCTCTACTGAAATTTTTCTAGGCCGTAGAACCTGGGGTTCATGAAAGAGATTAGTGAAATATGCAGGCAGATAAGAGAGTAGTCGGCTCGTTGACGTGGTGAAAATCGGTGAAATAATTTTTCAGAAAAACTGAAATTTCTATGAAAAATGCAAAAACTTCCCAGAGCGTCTCACGAAAAAAAAACCGACTCCTATACTTTTTCACAATACCTGTTTCCAATCAGTAACCAACACTAGCAAAAAAAGAAAGCAGCAAATATGGTATTAAATGGCTTATACAAAAATTTTCTTAAAGATGATTGGATTGAAATATACCAAAATGCCACCAAATGAGCACTTTTATTTGCAACTTGGGTTGGTAATACACACTTTGTAGTAATACACTATTACAATCTTTCGGAGCGATCTCATTATCTGATTTTAAAAAAGCATGATCTTATTAATTGTTCTATGGTCTGAATTGATTTAAAATTTTGGTGTGATGCCACATAAAACTGAGCTTTTCGAATAGGACGTATAGAACACAGCGTGATTACTTTTCTAAACGAGTACCACTATTAAAAACAAAATACTCAAAACTACAAACATAATGAAAATAAGCTTCAATACACCAACCTGAAACATCATACCCAAGAGCTTCGTCTTGAAATCCATTCTCACAATCACTCGTCAAAAATTTAAGGTTCATGGCGTTTTCAGGAAACATGGGAGCTGAATTTGCGTGCATATTTTCATCTACCATGTTGTTCAGAACCCCTTGAATAGGGGATAAAGGCCCACTTCCTCTCAACGAATTTCGAGGCGAATGCGGAGACAATTTAGCCTTCTTCGAAGGACGAGATTCTTCGCAATATATGACAAAGTCGCTACTTCGACGTGCCAGATTTGCATATATTAGGCTGCATTAGCAACTCTGAAAATACTCTCAAACATTAGTTCACTGAAAAACTAAAGATTTCCGAAAAAATCACTCGGACTCATGCATTTAACTCTCTTCCTTGTCTCACTTCGGATTAGTTGATATATACGCGGCGACATTGCAAACACATCATCAAGATTTTCGCGTTTCCTGAATAAAAACAAAAATGGTTGTTTCATAGGGTGCAGTCCCCGGAACGTGGCAAACTCTACCAGGCGCTGTCGGAAATTGCACATCCGTTCTGTTACTTAAACTCGCGAGGCGTCAGAATCTCCAACGGGGGCTGCCCATGAGGAACATTCCCTTGCGGGTATTGATCGTTCCATTGCGGTCTTCAATGCTAGTCGTCCCGATCGCTACTTGTATTCCTGCCTCAAGCGTTCTATCTCTTCTCCCTGTTTCTCGTTGCAATCCTCAGACAGTCTCTTGCACATGTCTGTCTTTTTCGGTTCTAAGCGAGATTTTTCTCGCCCGCTCCAGTTCCTCTTTGGTATATGTTCAGATCTTACAGAGATTCGTTCGTCTGAACTTCTTGTCCTCTGGTCCGTTTTGGTGGCGCAGCTGCTCTGTTGTGAGCTAGACGAGGCTGCCTCGCTACTCATCTCTTGATGCATGCTCCTCAACCCAGGCCTAGGCTTGGTCGGAAGAAGCATTTCACCTGGTTGGTAGGTCCTGGAACTTCTCAATCCAGGCTCGTTCGACAAGTCATTTCCTGAGAGTGCCCCGTTTCTCCACCTCATTACCCCCATGTTTGGGCGGTCTAGTAATCCTTGTTGTCCATAAGGAGCCATCAATAAGACTTCCGTAGGGCAGTCACCCACAATTGTCATGCTCCAAGATAATCGTTAAGGCGGCCAACAACAGACTACCTCTGTGTCCTCCAGAGCGGAGTCACGACCCCTCAGCCGGCAAAAGATCGCATCTATCACCGGCCCTACAAATGCCTGGGCGAGGTCTATCAATTCATCGAGTTGAAGTTATCCATTTCGTAGGATTCGACTTCAAAAGTCAAATGAGAAGATTTTGATCTTAAACTATATTAAAAATCGTTTGAATTCTAAAATCTTGGTATTTCATCCAAGAGTAGACACTCCAAATTTTGATATATTCTTAAGATTATTGATCGAGTATTCATGGTCACTAACCATTTCACACCCAAAATCCTAATACTATATAAAACATAATACATTACATTTAAAGCATAACAAATCCTAATCTCGACCTACACTCAACCTACACTCAAGTAGTATTTATTGTCTAAAAACACTTCTATGATGGTATCAGAAAAAATCACAAGAATCAGCGCATACAGCTCCCGAGGATTAAGTCGTCCTCGGTTTGGGTCGTACACCGGAATCGATAGTTCTTTCACCTTCCTCTCCACTAGGAAGTCTCTCAGTCTTGTGACATTCGACCAGAATGGACAAAACTGCAGATTCAACAGCTTCAAAATTTTAGCAGCTAACCTTCCGAATTGACGATTTCAAGAGATTAACAACGTTATTGGGACGATTAGTCAAACGGTGAAGGTCAAGATATTCTGGTATTTTGAAATTTTAAAAATTCGAAGTAATGACGTAATAATTCTGAGAAGTGTCAAAAACGGCCATTTTGGAAGAAAACCAGATTATAATCAGAACAACAATAGTTGCGACGAAGACCGTTCCGAATTGCAACTATTGTGTCGCTACAATAGTTGCAAGGCCGTTTGCAACAACGATGAAGGGTAGAAGACAGCCTTCCGGAAAGAAGATAAGGGTCTTATTTCCCCGGTTTCAAGAATCCGGAGGTATCTCGGGAGTTGAAATGAAACTCTTTTATATAAAATTTTAGCTTCCGGTTATGTCTTGAATTGAATTTAATTAGCATCCGAATTCATTTGGCAAGGATGAGAAGCTAGGAGTTGGGGGAAAGGGTTGATCCATCTTCGTGGAGTTGATGATTTTTATCTACTGAACAAAAACAATGGTAATATCATAAGTAGTAGTAGCCCTGTTTTTAGGAGTGACCTCGTGGTCTGGTAATACTGAGAGTCAGCCATGAGCTCATTAATTTTGCATGTAATTAGGTTAATTTGAGTGTTTTGAACGAAGTCGAAAGCAGTATTGTTTTTGTCGACCCGATGTTAGAAAGACCATCAAAAGAACTGGCTTTGGTAGAGACGGTGAAAAGCATGTAGAGCTTGGTTTAGACGCTGGCCAGTCGTTTTATAGCTTAGCTTTATATTCCGTCGATATGTACTTCCGGGCGAATGTTACATAGATGTTTTTATGGCGCTCCTGGGTGTTATTCTTTTTTAACAGCATGACCGGCAGAACCGTTAACGAGCACTCCGCGCCGAGCGGATGCTCACATTAACGCCCTTAATAGGCCAAAACCGCCGGGGCGGAAGGGTAGTTTGGAACGCGGAAGCCTTCCGGATCACCGTGAATAGTTTTTTAACCTAGTTAAGACCGAAAATTCACGAACCAGGAAGGGTGGGAGGATCGGCCATCCCCTCGTTCCCTGAGAGGTCCGTGACCAAAAACACTTAAAGATATATATAAAACCAAACAAAACGTAGTATACTACCCAAGGAAAACAAAAACATAAAAAATAACCGAAAAAATGCTAGTCGTCCCGATCGCTACTTGTATTCCTGCCTCAAGCGTTCTATCTCTTCTTCCTGTTTCTCGTTGCAATCCTCACACAGTCTCTTGCACATGTCTGTCTTCTTCGGTTCTAAGCGAGATTATTCTCGCCCGCTCCAGTTCCTCTTTGGTATATGTTCAGATCTTACAGAGATTCGTTCGTTTGAACTTCTTGTACTCTGGTCCGTTTTGGTGGCGCAGCTGCTCTGTTGTGAGCTAGACAAGGCTGCCTCGCTACTCATCTCCTGATGCATGCTCCTCAACGCAGGCCTAGGCTTGGTCGGAAGAGGCATTTCACCTGGTTGGTAGGTCCTGGAACTTCTCAATCCAGGCTCGTTCGACAAGTCATTTCCTGAGAGTGCCCCGTTTCTCCACCTCATTACCCCCATGTTTGGGCGGTCTAGTAATCCTTGTTGTCCATAAGGAGCCATCAATAAGACTTCCGTAGGGCAGTCCCCCACAATTGTCATGCTCCAAGATAATCGTTAAGGCGGCCAACAACAGACTACCTCTGTGTCCTCCAGAGCGGAGTCACGACCCCTCAGCCGGCAAAAGATCGCATCTATCACCGGCCCTACAAATGCCTGGGCGAGGTCTATCAATTCATCGAGTTGAAGTTATCCATTTCGTAGGATTCGACTTCAAAAGTCAAATGAGAAGATTTTGATCTTAAACTATATTAAAAATCGTTTGAATTCTAAAATCTTGGTATTTCATCCAAGAGTAGACACTCCAAATTTTGATATATTCTTAAGATTATTGATCGAGTATTCATGGTCACTAACCATTTCACACCCAAAATCCTAATACTATATAAAACATAATACATTACATTTAAAGCATAACAAATCCTAATCTCGACCTACACTCAACCTACACTCAAGTAGTATTTATTGTCCAAAAACACTTCTATGATGGTATCAGAAAAAATCACAAGAATCAGCGCATACAGCTCCCGAGGATTAAGTCGTCCTCGGTTTGGGTCGTACACCGGAATCGATAGTTCTTTCACCTTCCTCTCCACTAGGAAGTCTCTCAGTCTTGTGACATTCGACCAGAATGGACAAAACTGCAGATTCAACAGCTTCAAAATTTTAGCAGCTAACCTTCCGAATTGACGATTTCAAGAGATTAACAACGTTATTGGGACGATTAGTCAAACGGTGAAGGTCAAGATATTCTGGTATTTTGAAATTTTAAAAATTCGAAGTAATGACGTAATAATTCTGAGAAGTGTCAAAAACGGCCATTTTGGAAGAAAACCAGATTATAATCAGAACAACAATAGTTGCGACGAAGACCGTTCCGAATTGCAACTATTGTGTCGCTACAATAGTTGCAAGGCCGTTTGCAACAACGATGAAGGGTAGAAGACAGCCTTCCGGAAAGAAGATAAGGGTCTTATTTCCCCGGTTTCAAGAATCCGGAGGTATCTCGGGAGTTGAAATGAAACTCTTTTATTTAAAATTTTAGCTTCCGGTTATGTCTTGAATTGAATTTAATTAGCATCCGAATTCATTTGGCAAGGATGAGAAGCTAGGAGTTGGGGGAAAGGGTTGATCCATCTTCGTGGAGTTGATATTTTTTATCTACTGAACAAAAACAATGGTAATATCATAAGTAGTAGTAGCCCTGTTTTTAGGAGTGACCTCGTGGTCTGGTAATACTGAGAGTCAGCCATGAGCTCATTAATTTTGCATGTAATTAGGTTAATTTGAGTGTTTTGAACGAAGTCGAAAGCAGTATTGTTTTTGTCGACCCGATGTTAGAAAGACCATCAAAAGAACTGGCTTTGGTAGAGACGGTGAAAAGCATGTAGAGCTTGGTTTCGACGCTGGCCAGTCGTTTTATAGCTTAGCTTTATATTCCGTCGATATGTACTTCCGGGCGAATGTTACATAGATGTTTTTATGGCGCTCCTGGGTGTTATTCTTTTTTAACATCATGACCGGCAGAACCGTTAACGAGCACTCCGCGCCGAGCGGATGCTCAAATTAACGCCCTTAATAGGCCAAAACCGCCGGGGCGGAAGGGTAGTTTGGAACGCGGAAGCCTTCCGGATCACCGTGAATAGTTTTTTAACCTAGTTAAGACCGAAAATTCACGAACCAGGAAGGGTGGGAGGTTCGGCCATCCCCTCGTTCCCTGAGAGGTCCGTGACCAAAAACACTTAAAGATATATATAAAACCAAACAAAAAGTAGTATACTACCCAAGGAAAACAAAAACATAAAAAATAACCGAAAAAACCAAAAACAGTAAAAAAGTATAAAATCAGTAGAAATCATCCCCCCAGACAAGATGTGATCTGACCTCCCTGTTTGTTGTTGATCGAGCTATTGTTGTTACAGGCATTTATAT